AAAGATCTCACGGTTTATTGGATCTCATACACTCGAATGTATGTGGGCCAATGTCAACAATGGTCAGGGGAGGTTTTCAGTACTTCATAACATTCACTGATGAATTCAGTAGGTTTGGTTATGTGTACCTAATGAAGCATAAACATGAAGCTTTTGAAAAGTTCAAAGAATTCCAGAATAAAGTTCATAATCAACTTGGCAAAAAAATAAAGGTCATTCGATCAGATCGAGGTGGTGAATATTTGAGCCAAAAATTTAGTGATCATCTAAGAGGTTGTGGAATTGTTTCACAACTCACTCCGTCAGGTACACCACAATGGAATGGTGTGTTCGAACGGAGAAATCGGACCTTGTTAGACATGGTTCGTTCCATGATGAGTCTCGCTGAACTACCAATCTCTTTCTGGGGTTATGCTCTTGAAACCGCTGCATTCATACTCAATAGGGCTCCAACAAAGGCTACAGAAAAGACACCATATGAGATATGGACATGAAAGGTTCCTAGTCTAACCTTTGTGAAAATTTGGGGTTGTCAAGTTTACGTAAAACGTTTACTTTCAAATAAGCTTGAACCCAAATCAGATAAATGTTTATTTGTGGGTTATCCTAAGGAAACAAAAGGATATTACTTTTACAACCCATGAGAGAACAAAGTGTTTGTTGGTCGTAATGGTATTTTCTTGGAAAGAGGATTTCTTTCCGAAATAACCAGTGGGAGTAAAATACAGCTTGAAGAAATCCAAGAAGATCAAGATAGTCAGACTATGCAAGCAATCCCACAATCTCAGCCACAAGTTGTTGTGGATACATCTGAGATAACACTCGCTCCAAGGAGGTCATCTAGGGTACGTAACGAACCAGTTAGATACATGTTTATCTTAACTGAGCATGGCGACGTATTATTAATAGACGAAGACGAATCTTTGACCTACCAAGAAGCAATATCAAGCCATCACTCCGATAGTTGGCTAGAAGCCATGAAATCCGAAATGAGATCCATGGCCGACAATCAAGTCTGGGACTTGGTTGATCTACGTGATGGTTGTAGAACCATCGGGTGAAAATGGATCTACAAAAAGAAATTAGATAAAGATGGCATGTAGATGTGTATAAAGCACGTTTAGTGGGGAAAGGTTACAAATAAAGTCATGGTATAGACTATGATGAAACATTCTCGCCAGTTGCCATGCTTAAATCGATTCGGATTCTCTTAGCAATTGTCGTTTATTTTGATTATGAGATTTGGCAAATGGATGTCAAAACTGCTTTCCTAAATGGAAATCTAGATGAGGACGTGTATATGATACAACCTGAGGGTTTTGAACATCCAAGCAATGTTGGGAAGGTGTGCAAGCCTAAAAGATCAATATATGGTCTGAAGCAAGCATCTCAGAGTTGGAATCTTCGTTTTGATGCTGCAATCAAAGAGTTTGGTTTCAATCAAAACGAAGAGGAACCTTGTGTTTACAAGAAATTGAGTGAGAGTGCAATCACTTTCCTAGTCCTATATGTAGATAACATACTTCTCATTGGGAATGATGTTCCAATGCTTTCGTCTGTAAAGGCTTGGCTTGGAAAGTGTTTCTCAATGAAAGACTTGGGTGATGCATCCTATGTGTTAGGAATCAAGATCTATAGAGATAGATCTAGAAAACATAGGACTAAGTCAAGGTAACTACATTGACAAGGTCCTGCATAGGTTCAATATGGAAGATTCCAAGAGAGGATTCTTGCCTATGTCACATGGCACATATTTCAGCAAGACTCAGTGTCCACAAACACAAGATGAGCGAGATCGGATGAATAGAGTCTCTTATGCTTCTGGTATAGGTTCTATCATGTATGTTATGTTATGTACTCGCCCTGATGTAGCTTGCGCTCTAAGCATGACCAGTAGATGCCAGTCAGATCCAGGTGATAGTCATTGGATAGCAGTCAAGAATATTCTTAAGTACTTGAGAAGAACTAAGGATGTATTCTTGGTCGATGGCGGTGAAGATCAGCTCATTGTAAATAATTACACAGATGTTGGGTTCCAATCCGATAAAGATGATTTTAGATCGCAGTCAGGATTTGTGTTTTGCCGCAATGGCGGAGCAGTGAACTGGAAGAGTTGCAAACAAGACACGGTGGCTGATTCTACAACAGAAGCTGAGTACATTGCTGCTTCAGAAGCAGTAAAAGAAGCGGTATGGATAAGGAAATTCATCATTGAGCTCGATGTGGTTCCTAGTATTGTTGGACCAGTGGACTTGTATTGTGATAACAATGGAGCCATTGCACAAGCCAAGGAACCTAGATCACACCAGAAATCAAAGCATGTACTCAGACGCTATCATCTCATTCGAGAAATAGTCAATAGAGGTGAGGTCAAGATGTGCAAAGTACCGATAGTTTCTAATGTGGCTGACCCGCTCACCAAGCCACTACCACAAGCAAAGCATGAACGTCATACTAATGCATTAGGCATCCGTTTTGTTCATGATTGGTCCTAGTACAAGTGGGAGACTGTTGGAAATATGCCCCTAGTAAAATCATAGTTTATGATTTATCAATAAATATTTAATGCTCATTAATTAATAAAGTCACAAACTCATTTTATGTTAATTATTATTGTGAGTTGTCTTTATTAATATTTAGTCCCTGAATATTATGTTTAGTAGCTAATTAAGTATGTGACTTAATTGTGGAATGCTACACTTTAAAATAAGCATAATATTCTAATCGTCCCTGGACTAATATTATTAATTTGGGACATCAATAATTAATAGATCAGTGTGTGGATTAACTGATGACTATATTCCACTAGTCATGAGTATAGAGATATCAAGTTAATAACATAGATGCTTGTTAGGGAACAAGTTCATTGGACAGACCCAACTTGAGGACACTGCTAGGTTATATGTCATCATTGTTGTCCTCAATAATGATGAGGTGTTATATTCTTATACATGAGATAATCATGGTTACTTGCATGGGAATTAATATGTATTAACATCATTAAATGTTATCTGTAAATAGATAATTATAAAGGTGGTGATTGTACATATTATGAACCATGTAGTAGTATGTGAATTATCAAAATAGTTTTTGTCACTCTTGTATAGCGAGAGAAAGATATCTATTGGGTCCCTTGACAAGTAAGATTAATTAGCATGACCATGCTCAAATGAGGTGTCATTTGATCAAGATTAATCTTACTTGGTAATCAAGAAATATTAATTGAAAATGACAAGGATGACACGGTCTAACCTTGTCTCAATTAAGATATCGTTTGACAAAAGAGAATTATTAGCACAAATTAATCATTAAAAGGTTATGTCAGATTTAACTGACATTTATATATTTTTGGATAGTCATAATGCCTTGCTAGAGGCTGCTTATGACTTGTGAGGCTCGAATTAATTTCTAGCTCACTGTCAATAATATATAAACCTACAGGGTCACACATGACACACCTAAGTGATTTGGATCAATAATGTTTGTTAATAACATTAAAATAGCCTCATTAGTCAATTTGAAATAGGGTTTCGAATGGTATTGGGCTAGGGCCTCTAGGAGAGTTTTATTAGTTATAAAACCCCTTCTTTTCTTTTGTTATAAATAGGGCTATATAGACCCACAAATTTTAAGAGTTAAAATTCACTTCTTAAACCTAGAGTAGAGAGGAAGAAAGAAGAGAACACTAGCATGTTCCTTGCGGCTGATCCAGTCACGTGCGTGTGGATACCGGTAGAGCTCAGGATCGTTTTCTCGGACTGTCTGACATCCTTAATTAAGATTTCTATGTAAGTCCCTCTTATGTCTTGTAATTTCGTTTATAATATGAACCTCAGATCCGATTGTGTGTTTTTGGGTAGTAAAATTTTTGTTTATTCCGCTGCGTTTTTCTACCCGAAACTCAACAGTCACAACTTTTGGAAACAAATCTTCGCCCTCGCATGAGGCGCTGCTTCAAGCGTGCCGAGCAACTGCGTTACTCGGCATGTATGCTTTGTTGAAGTTATCTACTGGGAAAAACCATTTGTCCACCTTATACATGCATTTTGTCATTGATGTGAATGCCGTCAAGGACTATGCTTGGGGAGCTGTTGTATGGGCTAACTTTCACACAAGCTTCACAAATGTGAAGAATAATAAGGATTCAACAAATGTCTTTGGATGCCCAATTAGTGTTACGGTATGTTAATTTTGTAACACCGTCCCCAAATATATTTACCTTTATGTAAATTATGTATTGAACATGTTGTGTTGAGTAATGAATTTACGAGGTTGTAAATTTTTGTCGTTCTTTTTGCGTGAATAGTAAATTGCACGTGGGGCCCACATCGGGAACGGGGGCCACCCAATATTCCGAGTCCACATAATATATTCATCTTGGTCTAGATAATACACACACACACACACACACACACATATATATATATATATATGTTGGTGGATATTCATTAAGAAAGACATTGAGTCGATGGGTTGGTCAAACGAGGCCCAATTACCGGTTTTGTTAATTTATCGGATAACAGTCCGAAATGAATTTCAGAGACTTCCAAATTAAAGTTGGGGAAAGTATACTCATTATAAAGGCCCGTAATGATTGAGAACATACTACATATTTTATTTGACCCGACAAAATAAAATATAGTTAAAACAGTCCGAGAAATACAACTTTCGGGGCCGAATGTACACTTTGGAACATAATGGGATGACCTCTCACATGAGTGGGGGCCACCCCACGTTTTTGAGAGCTCATAGTTGACAAAGGGGGCTGCATAATATGGGTTGGGATGTGTGTGTAGTCTGAGAGTGATGGTTGGGTGAGAGTTGACCCAAGGTGGACCTCCCCCCTCACTTATTTGCCATTTGAGACAAAAGGAGTCTCCTCACCCCCTCCCCATTGTCTTGTGCGTCCAAGCCATCCCAATAAAAGAGAAGAGCTCTGCAAACACCTTATTCCATAGCCAAATTCGAGCTCAAGAAGACAAGGTCCAAGAAAGAAGATTAAAGAGGGAAAAAGTGAGGAAAAGCTTGGATAATTAAGGTAATGACTCCATAGTAACTCTATCTCCTCTCTTTGGACTTCATATGACTTATATAACATATGAGGAACCCCTAGGGTGTTTCTACAAGTCCAAAAGTGTAGAAAGATGGGTTGGAAAGTAGTTCTACGTCCAAGAACGGACTTAGAAGCCAAAGGGACCGGTTCGCTGGAAAATAACCTTTTTAAGGTTATTTGTATTGATATGAGTTTTGTGATGATAAAACCTTGTTAGGAACTTGTATAAGGTGATTCAAGAGCTTTCAAGAAGTTGAAAGAGTCATCGGAGCTATCGCCGGAGTTCATCAAAGTTCGTCGGAGTTTCGCCGGAGTTCAACCGAGAAGGGTAGAACTTCATAGTGCTAAGTCGAGGTGAGTGGACGGCTTAATGTCTTATAAATCTTGGGTTAATTATGAGATTACCTAAGTAAATGTTATATGTTTTCATAATGATGTTTAAAAGATGCTTAAACATGTGATTAGCCAAGGTGATTAGGCTTCTATGAATGACCCATTGATATCATAAATGAAGTATGATATGAAAATGTTTATAAAAACATATATGATGTTTTAAAGGATAAAAAGGGCATAAAATGCTTGGTTATAACTTAATACACGTTGGGATTAAGTTTGACATGAATCTGGTTTGAAATGGCGAGTCAACGAAAATGTTGACTAGGTTGCCCAGGGGGTAACCGGCGCCGGTTATAGGCAAAAACCGGCGCTGGTTATGGTTCGGCATGGCTGGTTTAATTAATTTAATTAATAACTGGAGCCGGTTATGTCAAAACAGACGCCGGTTTGGTGCTGTCTTGCCTATATGTTGACTTTTAATGCATGAATTGCATGGATGATTATGCTTAGGCCTTAAGACTTGGTTTAGTCTTGATTATTGATTATGATATAGACCTTATCTAGTATGATATGTGGTAGATCATAGGTAGGGTGGAGTACCCAAGGATTGGGCGTGTATCCTCAAAACTTGGTTATAGGGTGGAGTACCTAAGGATTGGGCGGGTATCCTCAAAACTCGGTTATATAGGGTGGAGTACCCAAGGATCGGGCGTGTATCCTCAAAACTCGGTTATATAGCGTGGAGTACCCAAGGATCGGGCGTGTATCCTCAAAACTCGGCTATATAGGGTGGAGTACCCAAGGATCGGGCGTGTATCCTCAAAACTCATAGATTACTATTTTGTAATTCAGGATCAGGCGATGTCCTCATGTTAAGATGATTTGAACCGGGAGGAGTTCTTTACACTTAGGTATATGGGTGGGTTGGAGTTTAAGTCAAGGATATTGACTATACTATTTTCCCAAATAAACAATGACCCACGGGTCGGGTATTTCCTAGTGTATAGATATATTGATATGTATTTCATAACTTGGGGGAAAGAACTATATGTACCTGTATCACCCTATGTTTGGGTCTTATACTTGAAACATTAGTTATTCTACATTTAGCCTGCTACTCGCTCGGTACTTGTACTGACCCCTTCGGGGCCCCCCACCATTTCAGGTTGAAGCTCAAGCTTGCTATTCTCTGCCCAACCTACTCCTCAATCTGTCAATTGTCACTCACACCTGAAAATGTCAACCTTCTTTTAGTTTTTGTACCATCATATAATTTGATACCATTTTCAACTAACCCTGTAATCCTCTTAATGTTTTTTTGTCGCAGTTCTCTATGTATAGAAGGATACCTAAACTTGCACAAAGACGTTTTCAAGTTGACCTAAGTGACATTAAGTGTTTCCCAATGTTGATCCCGATTGTCCATAAAATTGGGAAACGTATGTTGCTGACCAAGCAACACTGTCCTGATAAAGATGGCTTCTTGGAAGTGCTTGTTTCTCTTACGGTTGAAGAGGTCTGATATACCTTGTCTTTTTTTCTTTTTTTGTCGTTTCATTGTTGCATCAGCATCTGTATTTTAGTTATGATCTGTCATTTCAAATATTGGCCGTTTTTTGAAGCTGTGTAATGGGAATAAGAAAATATCGGCAAATGTGTTCCCTTTGTGTGATTTTGGATGTTCTTGAGGAGATGTCTTCAATGTTTACATACTTATAAGTCTTTTGAGTTAAAGGTGACAAATATACTTCCTCTGCTTTATGCCTTTATTTAAGCATCTGTGTGGATTGTGGTGCAATTGAATTTAATAAGAGATTTCTTTGTCAAGTGACTCGCTTTCATGTTGTGAGGATGAGATCTAGAATTTGCTATAGTTATATAACCATTGTGATTACACCCTTGACCCTTTTCCATTTCCTTGTCATGTTGTTTAAGCTACGGATTATTTGCTAGTGTGCTTCTTCATTCGTATAAGTACCGTCCACACTGATTTAGTAGGGTCAAAATTTTGTTGGCTAATTGTTACAACTTACAAGATATGATTGTTGCATGAACAATAGTTGCGACGGGTGAATTGTCTTAAGTACTAGTGTTATATCCGTGAAGGTGACTGGTGATTGGTGATTTACAAGGCTTTAATATTTTCCAGATTGTTTGGCGGCCGTATGAAGGAATCATTTTGCCTGATCCCTATGAAGCATATAAGATATTGGGCCGTTCAATCACTACTGCAATATGTGATGAATTTGCGGCTAATCACATGCCCTATCAATGGCCCATGCAACACTTTGAGGGGGTCCAACACCAAGAGGTGTTTACCACTGAAGTAAGTCACATCATCCTCCCTAGTGTGCTATCCCGATCTAAGAAGAAGGCTAACAATGATCAAAAGGCTGAATGGTCTTCTAGTTGGGACAAACAGGGGAATCAGATTTTACAGTCACCAAATGGTACCCCTAAAGCCCCGCTTCTCTCTTGGGACAATCTTAATGTTTCGAGAACAGCCAAGCCTTCCCCTTCTTCAAGAAGCGGTCCAGCAGAAGATGAGGGGAAACAACACATGGAGGAGTGATGTATAATATTGGTTTCAAATTTTCTTCAACCCATCTGCCATTTTGTTTTTATGACTATGTAATGTATATATGACTATCCTTTTCTTTGTGTTGTGGATGGTAAACTCCACATTCTTAACACATAACCAACCATTTCTTTTTTCAAACTTCCCTTCAAGCCACCATTGTCCCAGATCACCTTATAGTAACCTCCAATGGCCCGTTTGAACCACACTTATGTATCGCTGTCTTCTGCAGCTCTCTTTCACTCACTTCTTCTACCAGTTTACCCCCTTGCTTCCTCCTTTACCAGTTTACCCCCTTGCTTCTTCATTCAACATCTATCTTTCACCCTTTCTCTCTCCCCACCCACCTCATCAATTGCTAACCAAACATGGAAGAGTTCTAAATTTCCATTATTCTCTATTAAACTACTCATAAGTTTCCACCCCTACGGCCCTACCTCCTAATTTGCAATCCAAATAATCTGTGAGTGTAATACTAAATTTATTTATCTTTTCTTTTGGCTTTCTTAGTGTTTTGTTCCAAATTTCGTGCTTACATGTTCCCTACCACTGTTTTGTGTTGCAGGAATGGTGTCTGAGCTTATTGATTTTTGTGTGAGGTGTTGGATTCATTTACGTTGAACTGACCTTGAGATTTATTAACTATCTTACAGACAGTGATATGTTTGTACTTCCTTTTCTTCCCTTGATTTTTAAACAGCATTCACATGCCTTTAGATAACTCACAATTTTTAGTATTAACTAGGTACGGGGCCGAATGACTAAAGGCCTATAATTTGTACAGGAGAGTTTGTGATGGATAGCTGTTTCCACAATTATTTCTTGTGTGTTGAGTGTTCATTGATTATGTTCCAGACAGGGCACTGGTGTAGCCAGAAAGTTACATTAGGGTGTGCCAGTAAAAATGATTTTATTATTATAATTTTCTCTTTTGTGCTGTAAAAAAAGATCGAGTTTTGAGCTTTCATTTTAAAAAACTTGACTTTAATTTATACAAGTCTATGTAGTGTGAAAAGATTATTTGTAATGGTAATCTGTAAATCAAGAAAAGGGAAAGAATAAGATCAGAGAAAATCAATAAATGGGATTTGGATTTGCTTCAGGATCTGTTTATCCAACGTGATGTTCAACTAATTTATGGTATACCGATTAGTCTCAGGCAGGTTCCGGACAAAGTTTGCTGGAAGTGGACAATGGTGGGTAAAAGAAAACGGATGGGATTTTGTTGATGTCGAATTAGATGCATCCAGGGCAATATAGGAGGTCCAGTGTGGCTTGAGTATCACTTTAGCTAGGGTCATGGCGGAGGATATTAGAGGACTGAGTTCTTGCTTTACGGAGATTTCTTTCTCTCACGTTAGACGATCAGCGAACAAGGCGGCTCATGCATGTCTTGGCTCAGGCGGCTTGTTCTATGTCTGATTGTACTTTTTGGAATGATTTTCCTCTTATTTTTCTTTTACATGTTTTGAACATTGATTCTATTAATAATAGTTAAATTTCTTTTAAAAAAAGGTCAGAGAAGAAACCTGAGCTCTTAAACATGGCCGGTGGGTCATGCAAAAGAGAGTTAATGACTAAAATGAATAAACAAAATAATCAAAAATAATTAACATAAAAGTTGAACGAAACAATGTTAAATCATTTGTCCTACTCCTCCTAGCAAGTTGACCTTTTAGGATGAAACCCCGGATCTTAACAACAAATTATAAGAGTTATAATTTGAAAAAGGAATTAGATAAAAACAGAAAATCAGAATAAACGAGAACTTGAAAATTATGATAAAAAAATACTCCGTAGAAAATTAAACAACACCCCACAGAAAGAAGCCACAAAAGAAAATAAAAAGAAAAGTGCAATTCCGAGTTGCACTCTAAGATCCAAAACAGCACTACGCCGGTGGAAAATAAATTATAGACTTGGTACAACCATGAGACAACAACGAAGAAGAAGGTAGGAGGAGAATGAGGAGGAGAAGGGCTTCAGGCTCCGACCAGCTGCCATGTGTGCGCTGCCGTTGCCTCGCTGCCACAGTGTCGATGGCACGGGTTGGTCGTCGTCCCATCGTGTTCGCACCACCTTGCTCATCTGATACATGTGTAAGAGAATGTAGTTGGCTTGGTAGAATTTGTCCATACGAAGAGAGAGACATGGCCCTTCAGTGGGAAGTTGTGGAGTGGTAAAGACGAGCAACAAAGATAAGAAGTAGGGGTAAATTTGGAATATGGAAAAAATATACTCCTATTTAGGAGTTAAAAACTAGTACTACCTCCATCCAACTAAGACTGAGACAAGAGAAGATGACACGATTATTAAGAAAAGTGAGTTTATGTGATTGATATTAAAATGATAAAGTAAAAATGATTTAGAACCACACAAATGTTACCAAATTTGGTGTGGGACAAACTTAGTGGGACTTCTCGAAAATGTAAAATGGGACAATCTTAGCGGAACGAAGGGAGTAGGTCCTATTTAAGTAAATACTCTTTTTTCTTCTGTTCTTTTTCTTTTTTCTGTACTTTTTTATTATCTAAAAAATTTACTTTGCATAAAAAAAAGTTGTTCGATATTCGATTCAGTTTATGATTTTCCGATTTTAAACCAAACCAAACCATTCATTTTAAGTAAATCTTACCAAAAGATTTAAAGTAAACCTAAACCAAACCACCAATTTTACATTCCTTTCTGTTTGATTCCACCAAACCAAACTACTTTTAACCGTAGATAACACCTTCCCGCGTCGCGCAGTTTCTAGAAACCCCTACAATCTTCGACGGAATGATTTTTACCCGGCTTTTCTTCCAGCACTTTGATCATACCACAACGGAAAATTCAGCGCAATCGAGTCTCCTAAAAAACAGTAAACGTTCCTCTCACGATTTCCGTTTGGACGTCTCCCTCGTCGACAATTCTCCGTCACCGGTGGTCCTCGGCAGTCTCCTAAAGATGTCTGCGGTCGGATCTTCTTTATCGCACTACACATACCCTAACGGGACCTATTTTCCGACGCCATTCCACCTTCAACAGCAACAACCGCAAGCCTACATCGGCCCCGCCTCCCTCCCCCCTGTTCAAGTCCCCGTTCCTTCCGTCGTTCCTACGGTATATCCAGTTACCGCCCCTCTTCCGAGTACATCCCTATCTCAATACCAACAAGTAAGCATTCCAATTCCAAGTTGTTGGATGATAAGTAGTTTTTTTTTCCTCCGTATGATGACCAGGGGAGCGTTTCGTAATTTCCTTCACATGGTTAGGAAATTTATCATTGTGATTTGTGTCTGGTTTAATTACAGGCAAATCAGCTGTTTCAAAGGGTTGCCCAAATAGTTACACCAGAAGCAATTGAGAATGTGAAAGCCGCACTTGCAAGCAGTGAAATCGAACAGAAAGCTGATGCTAAGAAGAAAGCAGTTCATCGTAAAGCTGCTGGCCAAACTTGGGAGGATCCCACCCTTGCTGATTGGCCAGAAAGTGGGTTATTTTCTTCCTTCTTTATGATTCATGATGACATGTACCTTGTTGGTACATAAGGGTGTATAGAACTTATTTAAAAATCGCTATAAGGCTTAATAAGGTATTAAAGCTGAAAATTCACACACTTCCACAGTTCAGTGGCCCAACTGAATGGAAGAACATCATTCAGTGAACAAAGTATAGCCTATCGATGTTTTCTTTAGTTTTTGAAAAGGACTTTTGAAGCATTACTAGTTTACTAGTTAAATACCAACTTGTCAAAAATGTAAGTTTTAAATTTAGAACATTAATGCCACCAACACAGTTGTGGACAATTGATTGGGCAATGGTTATGACCAATAATCAATGTAATCACCAATAGGCAATTGGCCAGTTGACGCTTCACAATCTTTTTTGTAAAGTTGGTCCTAAAATCAAGTTTTAACATGTTTGCCCATAGGTTTTTAATGGAACTCTGTGTGTCTGTCTATTTTGGTATGAAAAAATTTATGGTTACTGTGCAGATGATTACCGCTTATTTTGTGGCGATCTTGGAAATGAGGTGAATGATGATGTTTTATCAAAAGCATTTTCAAGATTCCGGTCATTTAACATGGCCAGGGTAAGTCATATGTGAAGTCATATATATTGTATACTTAGATATTTTCATTGACATACATGAGCATTTGCTTGTCCATTAAGAATTTTGTCACAAGCGCTTGAAATGCCTCTTAGTTCCTAATTAACTTGTCCCCTTAGATATACATGTCCCGATTTGCATGGCATTTGCATGTCCCTCTATTTTGCCTGTTGTCCATCAAGGCAGTCCCTTTTTTTGTTTTCATCTACGCAGAACTATTAATGTCTTTAAAACTTAAAAATGAATGTAATGATTATTGACAATTGTAGATTTTTTGTTGTTAAATTACTAGTAATAAGTATAGGAACTGTTTAAGCAGTCACCTAAAGTGGTGGGTGTTGCAAACTGTTTCTCACTTTTGCTATTACACAGAAAAGTACTTTTTCACCAAGCACTGATTTTTTCATTTTCTAGATCACTTTACTTTTCAAATACCACCAACTTTTACTATTAATAAACAATAACTTTTCATGCAAATTTTAAAATGAATCACTTATCAAGAGTAGAAGCAAGCTCAAACACTCCATATATCACTTATATGGCTGTTCATTTGAGATCATCCCATGTTAAATTCTAGAGTGTGTTGTGTGAATACACACATGTTTGGTTTTCTTGTCTGTTCTTTGTTTTTTATTTGTTTGTTTATTTGTGTGTTCATTTATTGCAGTAAATTGATAGTGCCCCGAGCTTTCATGCTTTTATGTATCTCTCTTCTGGATTGCTTTCATAACTGCCTTTTAACAGACACATGCCCCCAATAAAAAGAAATAGAAACCCCCAAGCTTTAAAGCATTTGATATGTGGTAAAGCATCTAATATGTGGTATATCTTGCGTTTCAATTGTTCTTGGTGGTTCTAATGCTATATCATCACAGGTTGTGAGAGACAAAAGAACAGGCAAAACAAAAGGCTATGGATTTGTGAGTTTTTCCAACCCTTCAGATCTTGCAGCAGCCCTTAAAGAAATTAATGGTACGTAGGCTACCATCTTTTACTTGCACATGCATAGATCTTATGTTATGTTTACCTTAATCACGATCTTAAATAAACCTTCAGAGCGCAAGGTCTTTCATAGCTAAGTAATCAATTTCACAAGACCCCCAACGAGCGAGAAATGGTATGCGGCAGTTACTTTCGTATAGCTTCATTTACTTAATCTGCAATTGGAATATAGACTTTGGCTGTAGTAATTTATCCTTTTTACAAGAAAATGCAAATGGTTGGAAATGGGAGTGAAATGGATGAATGCCTGACATATCGTGTGTGCATAATAAACAAAATAAACTTGATGTCTCTTAACCGTTGTTTCTTTAGATAGGTTTTAGTGGGAAGAAGTGGGGAAAATAAATTTCTTTATTGTTGGGACAAGGAAAAGAGAGTGGGAGGAGAGAAGAAGAAAAAGCTGGCCACTTCGAAAAAATCTCACTCAGTGAGATTCTATAATAAAAAATTATAGAAAAATAAAGGTGGACCTTCTAAATATAATATACACCCACCATCTTATTATTATTATTTTTATCAGACATATACGTAGTAATTAATAAATACAAAGTACAAAATAAGTAAATAAATAAATACGCAATATATCTTTTACACACATTTCATTTGTTTTTCGATATTGTACTTCTTTTCACATCCTCAAACATCAAAGTGCAGTGCTGTAATCCTTATTCGTAAATGTATGCTGACATACAACATTTGGATTGCAGGGAAATATGTTGGAAACCGACCTATCAAACTTCGGAAGAGTAGGTGGCAAGATAGGATTGACTATGAAGCTTTAGAAAGGCAAAAGGTTAGAACATTTTCATTTAACATCACACTGGATATACATGCTTGAGGATTGAACCTTGCTTAGTTGACCTTCTGTGTGTATGATCTTGTTTTGGCAGAACCAAACTCAAAAGAAGACCAAGATGCCCAAGAAGTGAATGCTGATAAGGCATGCAATTTGAGATTCAAAGACAAGCTGCGTAGGAATAATTTTTTGTTAAACTTTAGAAGTTTATCTGATGTAATTATGTTTGGAGTACTAGTTATCCCTGGTAGTCCGACATGATTGTATGGAATACATATGGGATTTCATCTTTTCTTTAGATGCAAGATCTCTGTTAATGTGTAGATTTCTTCTGAACTATATATCGAAGTGGAAATAGTGGATGCAGGTATTGGTAGACTTGGTTCTAGAACCGGACTTGAACAATGCAGGTACAAGGCCGGGCTGGTTGTTAGAATTGATTGGAAGTGCTTGTAAATTTTATTAATAAATCAAATCATGGCGTTTGGGATAGAAGGAAAAGTAACTTATTTTAGTTGGATAGAACTCACAGAAGTGATTGTGATTGTGATCTTTGTTACGTTATGTTTGCCTTGAACTATTAAAATTTAGCCATTAATTATTAAATGTAGTTCTGTTTGGATAAAAGGTTGAAGCTAAAATTAATTATTATATGTAATTCTGTTTGTATTTAGTCTGCTCAATACCTCTATGCCTAAAGTTCAACCTCTTAGCACGGGGGTACTTTAGAGCAGGGTGGAGATATGGGACTAATGGGAGGTTGGTAGGGGCCTCTGTTCCCCAAAGAAATTCCTTAAGCCTGGTGTCCTGACTTGCCATTTCTGGGTATCTGCTAGTTTAGAGAACTCCAGCAGCACCGGCAAACGAGATAAGAGAATGAGAACGGGAATTAATTTCTACTTGAGGTACTATGTCAATCCCACCGGCAGTTTCGGCATGAGCTCGCAATTTGGTTCCCGTCTGATGGCAAGCTCTGTTACACCACTATTTCGCCGTAGGGAGGCCTTCATTACACTTGTTGTCCTTATAGAATGTCGCCATATTGTCTGTGGAAGTAAGATTATGAGAGAAAATGACACAATTGGTATGAATGTGGTCGTGTGGGGTAAGTGGAGCTTGAAATTGTTTTGGAGAATGAGCACATATGTTTTACCACCTCTAAGATGTTCAGACCAGCCAAGATCCTGGTCTTGACATCTTAATTATCATGTTCAGGATTTAAAGTGCTTTGTCTTCTCTCTAATCTCCCTGCACTTCAAAATCAAATCCATTTCATTCCGTTAAAGCTTTGGGAGCTGGACTTTTCTTAAATTTTTAACTCTAGTTCAACACTTCAACCGCATTGGGATTTGGGAAGATGCTAAAAACCGGCATGTAATTTTGTAGTTTGAGACTTTGAGTGAATTTGTTGTAAAAAAGTTCTTGTAGGCTTTGTTTTGTAGCACCAGATATTTGGTATTTATATTATGACTCGATCTAAGTTCAAAAGTTGAAATAGATAACCCAATGAGTGTATCGCATTGGGAAACAAGTGAACAATTTGTAATTTTCATATTAAGGAGGTTTTTTATTTGATCCAGACTATATATACACACATTACTATATTTAATAATATATTGAAATACATACTACAATATATACACACAACAATCTTATAAAATATAGAAAATGTAATACTATAACAAAGATCTTCGCTTAATATATTGAAATTACTAAACTGTAATTTTATATTTCTGACTTCCGAGTCACCTTTTGAACTATTTTTGTCGTGCTTCATTTAGCTAATAATTCAAATTCAACACTTTTATAATAACAATTGCCCTCCATTCAGACATTGATTGACGGAATGAAATGAGTTTTGACACATTAATTCAACTCATAGATCTTAATGAAAACATTAGCCTCCGGCTCTAGTGGGCACTTTGTTGTGACTAACATATCTTTAATGATTCAAGAGATGGCTATATAGGGCAGGGAAAAGCAACGACTTATTTAGGAAATGACACTTTGTTTTAGTGGTGTTCACGATCTGTGCTCAAAATGCTCAGATATCAAGAGTTGCAACAGAAAGCACACACGAGTGGATAAGGTTATCCGGGAGAAAAGAGCATATGAATACAATAGTTGGGGACACTAAAAGCAAACAAATATTATAATCGCGCTGTTCTATTTTGGAATAATAACTGAAGTACTCATTTTGGTTAATTAAATTAGAGAATGAGGAAAAACATTTCAAGGATTTGTAAATGTATAAACACTAAGAAGTAAGAACCTTATTGTCTCTATACACAAAATATTTGGAGGTTTGTGGCTATGCTTTAAAAACCAACAAATCATTGCCGTGGGCAGCACCCAACGCAATGTCAATTATGGAAGGAAAAGCTACTCTTTGAAAGAAGTGAAGAAGGAGACTGTGTCTTTTAGTGCACAGATGAAGTGATCAATATCCTCTTTGGTGTTGTAGAAATGAAGGCTAGCACGTGCACTTGCACTGATTCCCAGGTATCTATGCAAAGGCTGAGCACAGTGATGACCAGATCTGATGGCAACGCCGTGCTGCATGTCACATACAAAGTTATTCGTGATTCAGAGTCATGTTGCAAATAATCATTCAAACAATTTACTGATAACTCTTGGTTTTCATTTTTTATATGCAAAATAGTATTGATTAACTTGTTCTAAAATGGGATGTTATCTTTCCACACCAAACAAATCTCAAATGAGACGAGATTGGTACACACTTTTGATATATTGGCTATCCCAATTCTGACATTTTCATCATATACTTATTCAATTTTATGCTATTATTAATTAATATTACTATATTTTTTATGTTAATTTATGTATTTTGAGTGTTCTTCATAAATTTATGTTTCTGAATTAGTCTTAACTAACTAGGCACCAGCTATTGGATAATTTACTATACTGTGTATTTTGAAAGGTAAAATGGTGAGAATTCAGTGTTTAGCTTGTTTAGGTTCAATTTTGTTAGGCTTAAAATTCTTATTTTTGACATTTTTTGAGTATGTTTTGTTGATAATTTATTAGTTTCACCTTTTTCTGTCATTGGTCTGGCTTTATCGACAAGGAGAGAATGAGGTCAGTTTGTAATATTGTTTCTTTGATTAGAAATCAGTTTGTAATACTGGAAAAATGAGACCCATTTGTTGAGGATAGATAGGTTGTATTGGTACCTGTTGATCAATGAAAGTTGCAATATCTGTAGGGTGAACATCCTTGATGTTAAAAGAACAAAGTGCTGCCCGTTTGACAGTTTGTGAAGGTGCAGGACCGTAGATACGGGCATTGGGTACTGAAGAGAGGCTGTCAAATAGATAACGACCGAGCTCCACCTGAGAAAAGATTCAATATGAAAAACAACAGCTATCATAATGGTATGAAATATGAAATATGTACATAATTCTATTTTCTCCTCTATCCCTTAAAGAACCTCATAGTTTGACCTTCACAGAATTTAAGAAAATTAGATTCTTTTCTTTGACTCACTCAAACATCTTTTTTTGTGGTGAATGGTTATTGTAGAGTACACAGTTTTTATACTAAATACTCCCTCCATGCCAGCTTAAGCTTCTCACTTGCCTTTTTTGACGTCCCAGCTATACCCTCCCATTTTTAGGAAATAATTAGCATTCTTAAATGACAAATAATCATCAAATATTAAAAATAATACTCTGTACATCTATCATATCAGAGTTATCATCAATGACCTCATTATATTTATACTCATCAAAGTTACTTCTGAAAATATACTCGAATTACCTTATTTAATTATTGTCTAGATAATATTTTTCAATGAGAAGCTTAAATTGGGACGGAGGTAGTATTGTTTAACATGGTTTGACATTGTTTAGTTCTTATTACATAAGGGTAGTAGTCTAATAGAGTAAATTGATAAGTTTATTTAGTAAATAAGGAGATAGGACCTTATTTAAGGACGTCCCGGAAATGAATACATGAATTTCAAATAGGGATGGAGGTAATATTTTTTAACAAAAAGAAGAAAAAGAGACTATTGCTGTCTGATGGCACCTGAGACTTGACACATGTTGGGGGATGGACATACCTCATAATCATGAATTCTTTGCATGCCTATCCCAGACAGATAGTCAATCGCTGCTCCAAGCCCTATAGCTTCTCCAATTGCAGGTGTCCCCGCCTCAAATCTGATCACCATAGTGAGTGTTTGACAGAGTGGTAGAAGCACTTTTAAAATTTTGAACTTTTAAAAATTAAAAATATAGAAGCACTTCTGTTCACTTTAAAGAAAGAAACTTTAAAAAGCCTATATCCCATCATGTTGATTCAACCATGAATTGACCATGAATTTTCTGTTCAATCATGTATCTTATTAACTTTGGGTTTAGTAGTTTAATAGAACGTTTACTGTAGTTGAGCCTTGTAATCCTCCCAACCCAAAATGTGACATAATTATAGGAAAGGAGGAGGTACACTTGAATATAAGTTAAACACTTTGACTATATAAAGTGTTAGCATTACTCCCCCACTACACACACCCCAAAAGATATTTCTATGTTTTCAAAAATAATAGAATAAGGTTCTATAAAAAAGAACCTGGAAAACGACAAGGCATTTCAGATGAAATAGTAAAATACCATGCAAGACACCAACCTGGAAGGTGGATCAGCATAAGTTGAATGATCCATATACACATCAGCTATCATTTCACCTCCTCCTGTACTCAAGGAAAACCAATACTGCACACTTTAGTACACCAAATCCAATCAGGATTTCAAGAAATAATCCATATCCAAATGTAGATAGACCATAATAAGACACACTAAGAATACATACCCATGAATGGAGGCATAGTACTCAGGAGTTCACTTTTACCATATAAGAATCCAATGCCTGTGGGCCCACACATCTGAAGCATGATTAGCCCGTCGATTCAAGCAGGTTATTTGCATATTTAGATGTTAAACTGAGGGACAAAGATCTCACCTTATGGGATGAAGCAACAAGAAAATCAGCATCAAGGTTCTTAACATCAACTACCATGTGTGGCACACTTTGGCAAGCATCTACTAGTACTTTTGCTCCAATGGCATGTGACCAACTTATAATTTCTTCAATTGGAAGCAAAGAAGCTGCATAATGTGATAATAATGATATAAGACCAAGTTGTGGTAGTGATATGGAAAGCACTAAGATACAGAAAAAGACAGAAATAGTGCAATCTATCAAATCAAATATACAAAAGTGACCTTGTTTTTTGTAAAATACACCACAAATATTAATTCATAGAAGTTGGCAACATAAAGAAGCCGACATGATGTCAAATTGTACTGTATGCCAACCTAAATTAGAATAACTAAGATCACTAAGCCAGTTAGATATGGTCCATGTTTAATATGTATATATATATAGAGAGAGAGACTGTTACACATTTACCCTCTATCCCCACCCCTAAAAAAACCATGTTTAAGGAATTTATTTTTGTCCCAAAAGTAGAGTCAGTATTAAGAGTCAACTTTCATCTATAAGTAAATTTTTGTAAAGCCGAACTGCAAGATGGTGTAAACTACTATACATAATCTCGGAAACAAGCTTAAAGG